TATAGCAGTACAGCAATAGTTATTTGTATATTTTTATACTGCTGATACATAGCAAATAAAGCATCTCTGAAATACATATCAAATATAGCTGATATATCAGTGTAGCAACAGATTGGTATATAGTATAGCATCAATATCATCAACATAGCTTGGTTTTTTGGAAAAAAAATCAAAAAATGCCTATGTCTTAACTCAAGAGATATCAGTGACAAACCCCAAAATGACCAATATTGCGCCTTTCTCGCCGATTGGCAATATACAAAATACACGGTGGAAACACTAATTGCCAACTAACATTATATTGAACAATCCAACTGTGATTCGCCAGAAAGTCTGTGCCGTTCCCATATTGTGGTTGAAAGGCACAATTTTACCTTTCTAAATAATAAATCCTCCCCTCCCTCTGACCTTGACAGGAGACATAGGTGTCCTCATGTTTCGGACGGTGACGATGGTGGTTTTTATTGTGTTATTCTCTCTTTTGTTGCAAAACCACCATCTTTCAGGCCCGTAGGAACCAGTTCATTATTATTCAGGCCAAAGGGACGAACTCTCCCCCCTCCCACTCACTTTTACCCCTTAAAGGGATATTACCAATATCTCACACGTACTCAGCCACACCATGGTTGGAGGTGAGGGGAGAACTTTTTGAACATAGGTACGTCTTAATACCCGGAATGGCTCTCTGAGACTGTATCGGTACATGTAGTGTTCTCTTTATCGACGAAGTATCCATGGTTTTACCCAGGCAACCCGCAAAGGTGGCGTCAAAACTGGCGTTTTCTCCACTTTCAAAATATAAAAACGTTTGAAAAAAGTATGTCACACACAGGGCATTATTATTCTTACCGGTTTTACTCAAGAAGACATTGTATTAACGTCATCCAACCAATACTGCATATATCAACTATGAAGACCGACTTGCCCGACTTAATCTTACTTCCTTAGAACACAGAAGAATATTTCTTAGTCTCATTTTCATGTATAAAATAATTAATAATAAAATCAAAATCGACTCCCATAGTTATATTTCATTTAACACCATTAAACCGCACCCAACGCTCTATCTTCCTCTTGCCCGATGTAATGCACTTCACAATTCCTTTTTTTCACTGTACACCAACCACCTGGAACAATCTCCCTATTTCAATACGTATGTCTTCTACAATTCAATCTTTTAGAATATCATTATTAAATACAACACCTTCATGACAGTTCTGCCCAACAAATCATGTTTTAATAACTAATTATCTTCAGTCATTATTACTTTTATTATTGTTATTAATATTTTTTTCATTTTTGTTTTTATTCTTATTGTTATTATATTATCATTTTATTTTATTTTTTATTTATTTTTTTTATATTCTTTATATATATAATTTTTCTTGTTATTATATTATTATTATTATTATTATTATTATTGTTATAATTGTTGTTGTTATTGTTATTATTATTTTATTATTATTATTATTTTTTTTTTTTTTTTTTTTTTTTTTTTTTTTTTTTTTTTTTTTTTTTTTTTTTTTTTTTTTTTTTTTTTTTTTTTTTTTTTTTTTTTCAATCTTTTAGAATATCATTATTAAATATAACACCTTCATGACAGTTCTGCCCAACAAATCACGTTTTAATAACTATCTTAATTCATTATTACTTTTATTATTGTTATTAATATTTTTTTCATTTTTGTTGTTATTCTTATTGTTATTATATTATTATTTTATTTTTTATTTATTTTGTTTTTATTTATATTTTTTATATATATAATTTTTCTTGTTATTATATTATTATTATTATTATTATTGTTATTGTTATAATTGTTGTTGTTTTTTTTTAAATATATGTATCTCATTCAGTTCTACAACATATTAAAAATTTGTTTTCTTCCGGAGCCTGACTTTAGGTAGTTGGATTGCTTTAATATTATTGTAACTTTCTTGTCTTGTAAAATTAAGTGGTTTCTACTAACTATAAATAGATAAGAGCAGTTATATTTATTAATTTAATAAATGTAGGCATACTTTTTATAATAATTATGGTATGATACTACTATTAACCTTTACGTTACATCGTTTTACAGTGTTTACATTGCCTTTCGTTTATGCGAGCATTAGGTTCTGATAAGGTAGGCATAGAGTGTATTCTGATCTTGCTGTCATTCGGTCGTTGCCACTCATGTACATCGGACGTGGTACACCTTTTGTTTGTTGGTAGGTGGTCAACAACCAGAATGGCATCTGTACAATTCCTGTCTCTTATACACATCTTACAGGGACATGTTCCCTTTTTGCCTACCAGACTCATTATTATGTTTTGAGTGAAATAAAATTATGAATTATGAATTAACAGAAGAGAGCATGTTATAGAGTAGGCCAGGACAGGCAAGCACCTAGTTACTGTTATTAATATTTTTTTCATTTTTGTTGTTATTCTTATTGTTATTATATTATTATTTTATTTTTTATTTATTTTTTTTTAATTTATATATATATATATATAATTTTTCTTGTTATTATATTATTATTATTATTATTATTATTATTGTTATTGTTATAATTGCTGTTGTTATTGTTATTATTATTTTATTATTATTATTATTATTATTATGTTTTTACTTTTATCAATGTTTCTCTGGTAGACATCTTGTACAGGGACATGTTCCCTTTTTGCCTACCAGACTCATTATTATGTTTTGAGTGAAATAAAATTATGAATTATGAATAAACAGAAGAGAGCATGTTATAGAGTAGGCCAGGACAGGCAAGCACCTAGTTTTGCAATGCTATAATTAAATCTTGAATTAGTAGCCCATTATGTCCTAACAATGACCAAATTATTAAATTCGTATTTTATTTGGTTTGAATAATACAATGCAATGGTCGAAACAAATTGTTCAAGATTGTTTTTATTGTAGGTTTATATTTAACATCCTACCAGTATAATAAATTATAATATCATGTAGGCCTATACATATTTATACAACACTCAGACAAATGATTTGGTGAGTCAATTTCAAATAATTTATATTAATATTCTTGATTCCATGATCCTTTCCGTGTGATTGTGAGTGTGTATGTGTTGCAATAGTGTAGACAAGGAGGAAAGGCTTGCAATCGGGCCATACTGTAATTTTTTTACAAAAAAAAAAACCGCGATGCAAACGATATATTGATAATATTGATTGGTAAAATGTTGGTTCGGCCATAACCGGATCAGCCGGACTGCTTCTAGGCCTTGAGCCTTTATTTCTCAGTTGATAACTGTTCAAAACATAGTACAATAATGTGTATACGTTATATCAAATCTATATGCCTAATACTTATAAATGTTGATAAATTTGGTGTAAGGGTACCGTATCATCAGTAGTGTCCGGTGGCGATAATAACAAAGATGTTTACTAATTATAATAATGAAGAAATAAAAGGAGTTTGATGAAAATGATGAATGATAATGATTATTATTGTTATTATTATTGATATTATTATTATTATTATTATTATTATTATTATTATTATTATTATTATTATTATTATTATTATTATTATTATTCTTTCCTCGCGTGCTTCCGTCTTGTCGGATATTTGGCGTGCTCCCGTCGGTTCAATCACATCACTGCCCTCGGAGACTTGGGATATTATTATTTTCCAATGTCCTTTTCCATGGTGGTCTATTATAATATGCAAGTCATGATTAGTCATCTAAAAGCCCATGTCTCTGACTTTATGACCGTCTTCCAAAACCTTTAGAATGAACTGCAGTATTTTTTAATGATGGTGTTTGTATAGTGGCAATGTATAACAATACATGTTGTAATAACCGTTTGTAATGCACTTCAAATTCAAGATGTTTTATCACGACGAGTTCATGTATTGTATATACTCTACGCCAGTGTAATTGGACTAATGTTTTTGTACCGCTGCCACCTCGACAGGTTGAAGGCTAATGTTACTGGGGGTCCACAAGTTAAGCTATCATAATTATTGCAGGATAGGACGGATATAATTTATGGTCTTATGATAATATAAATAAATTAAGTCCTGCGAGGCAAAGCATATTGTATCATGTGAGGTGAAGGTCGTATAGGGCTACATAGGCCTACTGTAGGCAACTGCTCTAAGAAAAAGTATATGAAAGTGATGAACATAGGTAATAAGGGTATCGTACCTCTGCTGGCCTGCTGAATTAATTTTTTTGTGTCCACTTAAACTATAAGTATATTTCAAATGGAGTTATGTATAGTGATCAGTGGCGGATTCCAAGGGGGCCGAGCAGGCCCGGTCCCCCTATTTTTTTTTTTTTTAATTAATATAAAAAAGTGGAAAAAAAGTTGTTTGACGAAAAACTGGGGAACGGTGAATGAGATACAAATTTTTGGATATTTAAAAAAATGTGTAAAAAAGGTGGTTACGCCCTTTACCCCACCCCTCTTTTTTTTTTAAATATATGTATCTCATTCAGTTCTACAACATATTAAAAATTTGTTTTCTTCCGGAGCCTGACTTTAGGTAGTTGGATTGCTTTAATATTATTGTAACTTTCTTGTCTTGTAAAATTAAGTGGTTTCTACTAACTATAAATAGATAAGAGCAGTTATATTTATTAATTTAATAAATGTAGGCATACTTTTTATAATAATTATGGTATGATACTACTATTAACCTTTACGTTACATCGTTTTACAGTGTTTACATTGCCTTTCGTTTATGCGAGCATTAGGTTCTGATAAGGTAGGCATAGAGTGTATTCTGATCTTGCTGTCATTCGGTCGTTGCCACTCATGTACATCGGACGTGGTACACCTTTTGTTTGTTGGTAGGTGGTCAACAACCAGAATGGCATCTGTACAATTCAGGCCTACGGATGACGGTGCTACTTTAACAACCGAGATGCTACCGTCGTTGAACGGGAAAGGGGTGGGGAGTCAACCCAATGGCAAACCTAATGGCGAGGTGATGCGTTTAGAGCCTAAAATTGGCCTTTTCAGTGGTGTGACGGTGAACGTTGGCTGTATAATCGGATCAGGTATTTTCGTATCGCCAAAAGGAGTTATATTAAATATGGGATCAGTAGGTGCTTCTCTTTTAATATGGACATTTTCAGGTTTGTTTTCTATGCTGGGGGCTCTGTGTTACGCCGAATTGGGGCTATCGATACCAAAATCCGGTGGTACATACGCCTATATCCGAGAAGCGTTTGGAGATCTTATTGCGTTCCTGTATGTATGGCTCGGTTTGGTAGTTTTACTCCCAGTCACCTTTGCAGCTCTCGGTATAATATTTGGACAGTACTTATTGGAACCAGCCATTGTAGCAATGAACTGTACTGATGTCGATCTTACAGGCTGCACCCAGATTCTTGCAATACTCTGTGTATGTAAGTAAGAGTTTCAGTTTAGATTCTTATATTTTTTGATTTGCCTACATGATTATCCGTGGTTCAACACCTACTGGTATCATGCACTCTCTTGTGGCAGTCCATATCCCCCTCCCCGACAATAGGGGCCAGGCATAAAATATCCCGATCTAGCCATAGACCCGACCGATTTAGGCCCCGAATACCAGTTACGGAAACAAACAATGAATGGTTAAAACTTAAGGCAAACAAACTTGTTATAAAAATTGACAAAACTACCGAAGTAAAAATCATCAATTCTACAGAGGGGAAAAGCTGGAAAAAGCAGCATGTTACACTTTTTGACTGGCGGTACTGATACTCAGTTAAAACCATATTTCACAATGTTATCGTCTTTTGAGATAACATAATCAATTTTCTAATCAACTACATATGGCGGGTGACTGTTTACTGGAGCAGTTGAACTCTGGTAGGCCCCGCTCAGCTAGTTTATACCAGTGCTGACCAGAGTAGCTGAGACTACGCAATATTTACACACATCACAGTACATTTTGTATGAGTGCAGAGTGAAGGCGATTTGACCTATGACATCCAGCACAACCTACTTAAAATTTATTAAGTAGGCCTAATATATAATAACTGTGTAGTGTTCAACATCGCTATGAGTCTTACCGAATTGATAGTGACCAGAAAATCGTTGCAGCTACAGTATCTACTTATTTGTTGTGAATAGTATATATACTGTCTCTTATACACATCTAGATGTGTATAAGAGACAGTCCTACCAGAACAATGTTGTGGGAACTAATGGCTGCATCTCAGTGGATGTATATATAATATGGTATATATTATTTATAGTTAGTTAGTAGGCCTATTACTTTTTAATTCAATCTGCAGAATAATTAATGTTGTTTCTTAGCACTGATATAATGTTCAAATAATGGTAGAAACAGTGCTTGAATAAAGGAACAATATGGTATGAACGGATCGTTTTGAACGACGATACCTTCAGACCAGGGAGATGTAATTTTACATCTCCCTGTTCAGACTGTCGCCGACAATCAGTTTACGGGGAGCGGACAGATGTATTCGACGTACGATCGTCGAACCAGGGAGGGGTATTTTTACATCTCTCTATTCGAACGACGCATTGAGTGCACGGCATTTTATTTATTGATGGGATCACACGTGTCTGTTATTACGTGATCCGCAAAACGATGACAATGGAAACAATAATTAACGTACTCATGTATATTTAGGTATAACTTCTATATTCGTGAATTCATTATCGGATTGTAATCATAAAGGTATACATCTCTTGTGTTATGCCTCATCCAGTATGTAAATATTGATGCGAAATTATAACAGATAATGCTTTGAAACTCTACCGTATCTGTATGCAGGTCATTGAAACTACAAACATGTGTATAAAGTTATTGTATATTATCTTAAACTAATAAAGTATAGTATTTGTATTTCAACGGTATCGAGAGTGAGACTTGAGAATCAGCGATAGAATTCAGGCCAACAGATCCGTCCGAGACACGGGGAGGGGTAAAACAATTCGGACCCACAGATGTCCGTGTGAGACAGGGGAATCAGTGATAGAATTCGGACCCACAGAGGTCCGTCCAAGACAGGGGATCAGTTGATATAATTCAGATCCACAGTGGTCCGTCCGATGAGAGACAGGGGGATTAGCGAGAGAAGATCCAGAAGTCCGTCCGAGACAGGGCGATCAGCCATAAGATTCGGATCCACAGAAGTCCGTCCTAGACAGGGGATCAATGATAGGATTCGGACCCACAGAGGTCCGTCCCAGACAGGGGGATCAGCAATAGGATTCGGACTCACATAGAGGTCCGTCCCAGACAGGGGGATCTGCTTTTGGATTCGGACCCACAAGGGTCCGTCCTAGTCAGGGAACCAGTAATAGGATTCGCACTCACAGGTCCCTCTGAGACGGGGGGTAGCTGTAGGATTCGGACCCACAGAAGTCCTTCCGAGACAAGAGGGTCAGCGATAGGATTTGGACCCACAGATGTCCGTCTGAGACAGGACGATCAGCGGTATGATTCAAAACCAAAGAGGTCCGTCCTAGATGGGTGATGAACGATAGGATTCGGACCCACAGAGGTCCGTCCAAGAGAGAGGGATCAGCGATAGGATTCAGACCAACAGAAGTCCGTCTTGACAGGGGAATTAGCGATAGGATTTGGACCCAAAGAGGTTCGTCGGAGACAGGGGGACAGCGATAGAATTCGGACCAACAGAAATCCGCCCAAGACAGGGCGATTAGTGATAAAAATCGGACCCACACACTGTGGTCCGTGGTTCAGAACACACATTACTATATTATTACTATTACTATACTATTACTATTACATACTATTTTGACCTGTGCTTTGAGTGATGACTCTTTTTGTATTCCCATTGATACAGCTATTGTTTCGTACATCAATTGTCGTAGTGTGTCTCTGGCGGCACGGGTACAAGACGTCCTGACGGTAGTGAAGGTATTGGCCCTTGCTGCTATTATCATCATTGGCGTTGTGGAACTCGCAAAAGGTATGAATATGAAATACTGTATGACTATATTCATGGATTTATTAATAGGTCATTACAATACAAGGCTAATGAACATTATGTAAGTACTTAATGTAAAAATTTCACTCTAAACGAGTTTCACTCTAATTTCAATCTTTTGATTTAAGGGAGAAGATAATTATATATATATATATATATATTTTTTTTTTTTTTTGAATAAATGAATTTCCTTATTTTGATTTAGATTGAAGTCTTCTTTGGTTTATTATCGATTAAACAGTCCTACAGCAAAATTAGGTAGCTTTCGATTGTACGACGACGGTAGGACGTAGAACGTAATGACGTCACTAAAAGTCATCTGCGCATGCGAGAACGGTAAGGTCACCTCGTCGAGTATATTATGGAACGCAATTTGGCCAAATCTACGTATGCAGAATACGCAGGACGCCATGTAGGACGGTCACGCATGAGTGATTCCGTTCTAGCGTCGCGCGTCGTCGCACAAATCGAAAGCTCCCTAATAGGCAAACCAGGTGAAATTATTCGAATATTGACAAATCTTTCGTTGTTGATTTATGAAGTAAATCTAATAGTAGGTCGTCAATAGGATGCCCATTTTATTTGTAAAATAATAGAACTGATTCAGGGTTACTCCTGTTTAAATAAGATTATATTAATACAAGAACCATATGCTCTCATTGTCAGTTAATTAATTGGCGAAGATTTTCACATTCTAATTGTTAATAACTTGTTTAACTAACCAAAGTAATTGTTCGTCAACTCGTGAATTTTAAACACTTTTTAATATTTTTGTTAAGTTCAATGTCTTTAATCGTCTTATTTTTTAAAGTCAATCCTCGTTGATAGTCTGTTATTATTGCCTTCCAGGAAAATCATTAGGTAATCAATCTTTTAGCAGACAATCTCGTCATTTTCATCAATCACTTGCTCGCACTTCATCCCCGACAATCTTTATTTTAAATGTCCCGACATTTGCAGCGGTTTAAACACAAACCGACAGAATTGTTAATTTCTTTGTCAATTAAGATTTGTAGTCTTAATTGTTTGATTTTACTTGTTGCGATGCAACTTTATTAACGTTACAAGTAAATATTATTATTTGAATCTTGAATCACTTGTTCCAGGTAACACGGAAAATTTTGAGAATGCATTTGAAGGAACAAATTGGATGGGACTTGGTGGTGCGCTTTATTCGGGTCTGTTCTCCTACGCAGGATGGTACAGTCTTAACTTCATCGTAGAAGAAATTAAAGATCCTCCAAGGTAAATTTCAATCAACTACAGTACTTTAGTTCCTCGGGTATAAGCCCACCTCGGGTATAAGCCCACATCGGGTATAAGCCCATCTCGGGTTTAAACCCACCCTCTACTTTATGGCTTTGAATTAGGCATACAGTGGCGAAAACTTGCCGTTTAATTTAAAAAAGAATTCTCTGCAGGGTAAGCCAATGTTGTGTTCAAAGGCGTGAGCAGAAGAGCTACGAAGTAAAATAGTACTGTATTTAGTATTGTGTGGCCTAAAGCCGGTTACTCACTGCGTGCGACGGCAACGCAACGAAGAACGCACGCGAAGACGCGGATCGTCTTTTTAATGAGGATCCGTTCAGATTGCCACTGACAATCAGCAGACGGCGTTGTGTCGTCTATCGCTCGCCGGAGGCAAATGAGGATTCGTGAGTGAGTGTCCGGCTTTAAGTTGAATATATGTGGACTCGTATAGATGTGTTGTTACTTTGTGAAGAGTGGGAACCCATGTTACTTAATACTATTTAATTGATCTCTATTATTAATGACGTTGTCAATTAATTTACAATAATTAAGTATTCGGTCGATCGATCAATCAATCAACTAACTTGCTAATTAACCAATCAATCATGTTCAATCAATCAATTATTCAATCTACCAAATCAACTTGTCAATAAATCAAACAATCAATCGTCCAGCTATCAAATCAATCAATTTATCCATTACTCAATCAATCAGTTAATCTACTTACCAATCAGCCGCTACTAATCATACTAATTTTTGTCAATTAAGGATTGTTTCCTCGGGTGCTATTATTTGGAATAAACTTCCTCTTTAAGAATGAACAGCTCGAGACATGCCTTCCCTGTTCAACTTAAAGAATTAATTTTATCACAATATATTTGAATGATGCCATTGAATTTCAGTTTTTTTTTTCGTTATTTATTTATTTATTTATTTATTTTTACATATATATAATTATGATATTTAAGTACGTTATGATTTTGATTTTATGACTGTAGTTAATAGGGGCTAAGTTTGATTAGCTTTGCTATTTTCTGGCAACCTTTTGTATTGGGCTGTTTGGCTACTAAAGCTTACCTTAGTCTACACTATCTAATTTCATCAAAAAAGAAAAAAAAAAAAAAAGCATCACATAAATTTTGATGGAACATATTGAACACGTTCAACTTTTTTTGATACAATTTGATGATATGTGATATGACGTCATCGTACCCATATATGGGCCCATCACATTTTTTTGTCACATAAAATTTAATATGTATACAAAGCTTTACGCACATACAATAAAGAATGAATGAAATCTGATCATTGTATGCCAATTCACTTCCAGAAACCTGCCGCGCGCAATCGTCATCTCTGTGTCCACGGTAACTAGTATCTATGTACTTGCGAATTTAGCGTATTTCACAGTTTTAACTCCTCAAGAACTGATGCAATCAAACGCTGTCGCTGTGGTGAGAAATATTCTGTTGATAATGGTATTAAAAAATATTGAAAATTATGATTAACATAATATTAATTTTTTAAAACTATTAATAATAGTATCAATATATTATTAAGTAATAATAATAATAAATATTATAATAATTAAGATTATGATTTTTAAAATCATGAAAATAATATTAATGAAGAATGATGATGATAATATTATATAAAAATTGTTCATAATAATGATATTACTATATTAATAGTAGGCCTTATAGTAATAATAATGATAATACTATTAATATTAATGATGATACTAATGAAGTTTATAATAATATAATAATAATAATAATAATAATAATAATAATAATAATAATAATAATAATAATAATAATAATAATAATAATAATAACAACATTTATTATTATGGTTAGGCCTAATACAATTAATACTAGCTACTGATATTTTTTTCACAAGTATTTGGTAACGTACTGAGGATTCGGTAGGATAACACGTCGGGTAGGGCAAAACATAACTCTTATGATATTTTCCTGACGCAAACACACATCGAAACTGATGATATTGTAATACAATTATTCTTATAAATAGTTAGTCGTCAATATCCTATAGACGAATGCTGAGTATCTGTGTTTCACTTTGTATCTTAGACATTCGGCATCAAGGTGATGGGCAAATTCGCTTTGATCATGCCGATAGCGGTTGCCTTGTCAACATTAGGATCAATCAACGGAACTCTCCTCACCTCTTCTAGGTAAGTGTACTGCTTGGTTTCGTATGCGTCAGCAATGCGTCAACAACGTTTTACGAACATTCTGGTTGAAGGTATTAAAATCTTGTTAACCTTTCTTTAAGGTTGTTCTTTGCTGGGGCACGTGATGGTGTTTTGCCAAAACTGATCTCAATGATCAACGTTCGTTACAAGACACCGCTTCCGGCACTGTTCTTCGTGGTAGGCCATCTTCGTAACCCACGTTCACATTGAAAACCTTTGCGCCTACTCTATGTAGATTATCCAGCTAATGTTAATCACCTACACTTCCTTCACATAATGTAAACGTACGAAGTCTTACAATACGTCAATGTAGCAAGCAATACTTCAGATGTATTTTGCATCTATTGCCCTCTGTCACATTGTATATAATTTCAGAGCGTGCTGTCTTTAGTGTACGTATTCGTCAAGGACGTGTTCCAGTTAATAAACTACTTCAACTTTGTCACTTGGACCTCGTCTGGAATGGCAGTATTAGGGTTGTTGTACCTCAGATGGAAGCGACCTGAATTGGAAAAGCCGTATAAAGTAAGGTGTTTATTCTCTCGTCAGTTCTTTAATTCTACCCAATAGGCCATATTTCATTTTCTTTATTTTTTTTTTTTTCGTTTGTCGTGGCATATTAAAGGACAAAAGAGTGATTCATATTCGTTGAACTGACAAAAAATGATAAAATGTTATATTAATGTCAAAGCATGTATCAATTATGGGCTGTCAATTTAAAAACAATATAGTAAATACTAAGAAACTATTTTAAATAAATTTCTTCATAGGTAAACATTGCCCTACCAATCGCCTTTGTAATAGCGTGCGGGACTCTGGTTACACTGGGCGCGATCGCTGCCCCCATGGACACTGCTATTGGAGTAGCAATAACATGTACTGGAGTACCCATATATTGCCTACTCATTAAACCACGACACCTACCCAGGATTCTGACGTTATTTGTTGGTGAGTCACCTTTTCCTATTTGATTTATATAATTTAGTTGCTTGGGCTAAAAATCGCCATTAGCGCACTGCATTACATTAGCAGCAATCCCAATACATATATTATACTGTGACGTCAGAGTAAGTGAATTGGTCAATTTGGGTTTCATGCACAGAGCCATTGTGTAGCCTATATGAACGTCAAACACGAATAATTAATTAGAGTAATTTGTCTTGCAATGGTAAAATGAAAATAGGCATTTACATTTTATCTTCATCAACATCATATTCATCATCTTGGTTATTTTTATCAACATTTTAATAATAATAATCATCATTATTATTATCTTTATTGTAATAAACATCAACACACTATCATCATCATCATTATACCATCATCGTCATCATTGTCGTCATCATCATCATATCCAATATCATCTTCATCTCATCCTAACCGCTATTAACATAGTTATCATCGTTTTCATCATTGCAGACATTTAATTTTATCCCTTTTCATTTTTTCATTCGTTGATCTTTGTATACCTCAGTGGTAAACCCATTGACCTTCAGAATAAGAGATCAGGATTCTAGACTCAACACTTTATGTCCTATTTCAAATTAAAGTTTGCAATTTCAAAATTAAAATGTGAAATTGGAATTTATGGTTGGACCCCTGAGACCCGCGTCTGCCACAGTGTAGTGGCTGTACCGACATGAATGGATATTTTGTCCATTATCCTGCTGCAAACTACAGTGCAATGCACTTTGTAGGATATTGAAGTAATGTGAGTGTACATAATATTGCATCACGACTGCAATAGGCCTACACCATTAGAAGCTGTACATTATAAAATCCCGTGATCACCCTATACTTTGATAAAATTTGTTATCACCGTCATAATAATAATGGTAATGGCTGTATATTTATTAAGCGAATATTACAATAGTCTCTATGCGCTTGAAATGCAAAGTCTTGGAAGCAGAAAAATAAGAACCGAGAAAATCCTAAGACTAACAAAAGCAAACAACCACAGAGACAAAGAAGACAGCAGGAGGAACCAGTGTCACTGCTCTGTTCTCCAGCACTTTAATAATAATAATAATAATAATAATAATAATAATAATAATAATAATAATAACAGTATTCAACATCATCATCATTATTATTACTGTCATTATTATTATCATTATCATATTCAGGCCTATTATTATTATTATTATTATTATTATTATTATTATTATTATTATTATTATTATCATTATTATTATTATCATTATTGTTATTATTACCATCATCATCATTATTATTATTATTATTACATTATTATCATTATCAGTATTATTGTTAATTATTCATCATCATCATTATTATTAACGTCATTATTATTATAATTATCAATATCATATTTATTATTATTATTATCATTATTATTGTTATTATTATTACTATTATTATTATTATTTATTCACCATCAACATTATCATCATTATTATTATCACTACTATCATCATCATTATCATTATTATTATTATTTATTCATCATCATCATTATTATTATCATTATATTATCATTATAATTATTATTATCATTATTAATTATTATTATAATTATCATTATCACTATTATCATATTAATCAGTAACAACAGACAGCAATTTTAAGACTAACAAATGATATACTGCTGTTATTATTATCATCATCATCATAATCGTCGTCCCCGAGCCATTATTATGAGATTTACCATTTATATTTCTCCTTTTTAAACTATAATTATTGCAAACTTTAAAAAATACCTATATCTATTTTTCTTATATTGTTGTAATTTTCTTACATGAAGTATTTCTATTTCTTTTGCAGCTAAATTCTCAACAGTATTCCAGAGGTTGTTTTTAGTAACAGCCGAGGAAAAGTACGAGTAAACGCAAAATAATAGACAATAAAACCAAGAAAATACTACAATCACACAAGATATAAACCTACACATTTAAGTGTTATTTACACTTAACGACTAAAACGCAAAGAAATAGCCAAAATAGAAGGAACGCAGAAAATCAAATTAAAGAAAATGGTGCACAAAAACGTCCAAATCGATGCGGGTTGTTTTATTATTAGGACCTATATCATTGCAGAACGTGTTCATCAATTATGTTCATATGTTAACATGTTGTTTTTTATTCAAAACAATTTTGATGAACCTGTTAAAGAATTAGTAATTAGAAAGTAAAATGAAATTGCCGTTATTTCATTTTTATTTATTTTTCTATTGGATTTTGTTTGTAAGATTAGGACAAAGTTAGTTTCTATAAACTATAGAGGGCGTACAACCACCAGCGGTCGAGAAGTTTTGTAGGCTTATACAAATATGAAGCCAAGGATCAGATTAACACCTAATAACAATTCATTATAAATTTAATTTATTTCCAATAATGATCATGACAAAAAGATGATGCTGAAAATGATAATATCAATGATAATAATGACAATAAACTTCGAACAATCTTAACTACGAACAAGGGAAAGAAAACAACACTGTCGTCTAAGTACTCCTCCAACTCAAAACAATGCGAACTCTAACTGTATTTAAAATATTTACTTAATTAATTTATCAATAAAAGTTATTTAAATTCATAAATATAATATTCTAACATTAACAATTCAAATTAATTAATTCGTTTTCAATAAATAGTATTAAATAAAATTAAATTTCTTGTTTTTTTAAATAGATATCACAACCAAATGTAACTGTAAATTATAAATAATTATACATATTGACATTTTTATTATAAAATTACTTTTATGTATATATTAAATAATGCTATTTGATGATTATGATAAAAAAGAATAATAAAAGTTTTAATTACAGTTAAGTTGATGACTCATCATATGATATTTCATTTTGTTTGAATATAAAAGTATTAGATTATATGAGCGAGAAAACTTTACCTACAGTACAGTCTTAAGTAAAGAACAACAATGTTTTATGCACTACCAAATCAAGGTTGTTTAAGTGTTTAAGGTTAATTCAATATAACTAGCGTGTTACAATAACAAGGACGTGTGGGCGTGGGACCTCGGCTATGTGAAGTATTATCAGGGAGCTGGTATTAACTATAAGCCTAATCCGGTAGTCTTAGCTTCTTTTTTTTTTTCATTTAATAGGTTTATTAATAATTTAAAAAACAATTTCAATTTCAACAGTCAATGAAAAATACAATTTACAAAAGAGCCAATAGAAGCCAATTTTGATAGTTTTAACGACCTGAAACTAGGAAACGATGCTGTTGGTGGTGGTTGTGATGGTTGTGAAAATACAGTAGATCTATTTGCATTTGTTTTGGTTTTTTTTCTTCTCTTTTGTTGTTAAGCGCCTCGATGTTGTGTCAACGTGAGGCGCTATATAAATCCAGAATAAATAAAAATTTATTATTATTATTATTATTATTATTATTATTATTATTATCATTATTATTATTATTATTATTATTATTATTATTATCTTTATTATTATTATTATTATTATTATTATTACAGTTATTATTACAGTTAGTAATAGCAGCAGCAACAACAACAGTTACTAACCTTAGTTAGTTACTAACCATAAACAGGAACCTTAAGCAGGGCACTCACTGTGATCGTACGACTGCCGGCAGACGAATCCATCTCGGCTCTCTCTGAGCGCTAGACGACGCGACGTCGTGTCGTCTGTTGATTGTCGGTGGCAATCTGAAGGGATCGTCACTAAAAAAAAGATCCGTTGCGCGCGCGTTGTGTGCGTTTCGTCCTCCATAGAATCGCGTCGGCCGATGACCGTCGGACGCAGTGAGTCCCCGGCTTTAAAAATGATTCAGATACCAGCATTGCAATCCATGCCCTCCAGTCTTCAACTAGCGTTGATTTGCAATGCTAACATAATTAAATCAAAGTACGTCTCGATTGCGTAGGATTGGAGTAGTAATTACAACAATAATAGGTAACGAGGACTTAGTGTTGCTCTATGAAAGGTGCAAGACAGTCCTCTTTCAATTGCTAAACCCTGCGGCAAACAATATCTGAAGAAACCGTGAAAAGGAAGGACAGTTTGTACGAGAATTCAGAATCATGATTTTAAGGTAAAACAAACATTATTTATTCGTGCCCTCTAAATGTAAACGAATACGTCCTTACTGTTGTACTGTAAATAGAAGGGCATAACATTAGTTGCCAGCCGTCCCACCAAGCTGTCCCTCGTTTATAGGAACGAATGATTTATTTTTTATTTTTTAATAATTCTTTAATAGTTTTTATGATTTTGTGACCGTTGCATTCATATCTAAAATTGTATTCCTTTATGAAATATTTAAAATGGTTTGTGCCAAGAGAAGCAATTAATTATTCAGGCGCACGTACGTAGTATTTATTTATATACAATACAGTAATAACATTGTCAATATCCTACCATGTACAACAAATAAAGAATATGGGACTTAACATAATAACAAACATTGCACGGTGGAGTGCGGTAAATGCCATGTAGAATCCTCCATCCATTTCTCTCTGTCGTCTGTTCTAATTTAAAATCCGACGCGCCAAATCCCGCCTGTGACGAATGCGTGTGGCTCACAATCCCGTGCTTCTCCAATAAGCTTGTAACGTCACAAGTACTCGTACACATTTTAAATTGTCAAAAAGCACATACAATATGTAAATGGATAATTAAATTCACCCATGACGAACTTAAAAATGTTTAATTTCAAGGACAATGGAAAACGCAGGTACCTTAATAAACTTCCGATTCACAGTCAACAACACTGTGAATTGCCTACAGCACAATTAATGACAACAAAATAAAAGAATGAGACTTGGTTAATAAACATTGCACGGTCGCATAAGGTAATTGCATCTATCCGCCTATGTCTATCTATCTGCCTATATCTATTTTATATATATATATATATATATATATATATATATCTGCCAGTATATATACATATATATAGGAATATATATATATGTATATATATATATATATATCTGCCAGTATATATACATATTAGAACGGTAATGACGGTAAAACATTTAAATATCCGATAGAAGCAAGGTATTCGTATGCTCATCAAGCAACACATTTAATTCTCTAATTAAAGGCTTACGTTCATTAGATTCCTGTATTTTGCTTTTAATACGTTACACAAATTAACTACCACAAAGTGCTCTTAAATTTTGTCGAGAAGATTCGTAAAAAGTCGGAATGTTCAAGTTATATAAATATTCCTACAGCTTTATGGCGAACGTGTGTTTTCTAAATCTCCAAACTCAAAATACGAAGCTTCGGAGTGGAGTTCTTTAGCCGTGTCAGATGTTATACAGCCATTTAAATCAGACATTGAAAAACGGGCATTTTCATCACAAATTTACATCAAATTGTTATGCGATTACCATAATCATTGTCTTGTTTATTCAATATCAAATATAAATGAAAGGTCGTTATTTATTCAGCTGTATATTTTCAGGATTGAGATCCAGTGCGTGATTTTCGAAACCTTTCTCGGAATATCGGCGGTGAACTATCAGCGCCCCTTCCTTCATGTCGTGTGGAAATAAGCCTACGTTGTTTTTATTATTAATACTCGCCATATCATTATTGTTTGCCATACTATCGTGGTTGCCTGTGGTGGGTTCTCTGCCGTTACACTTCGTTTCCATCGTAGTTTTATTTGCGTCTTGTGCGTTTTTCCTGCTAATCGAAATTGCCATTTTCGTTGGAATATTCTCGTGCCGTGTTGCCTCAATATCGGATATGTCCATTTCAACATTTCTAATGTGCAGGCCGCGGCACGGATAGCAGCCTAAAATGTACTTATATGCTCTTCTAAATTCTGAGTTCTGCGCGTAAATTAGAGGGTTCAGGGTGCTGTTTACATATCCAAGCCAAACAAATACGTCAAAAAGTTTTGGACTTATACATCGATTGCAAAATGGATCGATAATATTAGCAATGAAGAAGGGCAGCCAACAGGCAATAAAAACACCCATTATAATACCTAACGTTTTTGCAGCTTTTCTCTCGCGTGCCATATTTGTTCTGTTTCCTTCGTTTGATGGTTTATCGTAGGCTGCTATCTGACGTGCCTGTTTCCTGGCTACCGCAAAAATGCGCGCGTAGATAAACACCATAACGACCATTGGTAGATAAAAAGAGACCAAAGAACTGATCACTGCGAATCTACCGCTCAGAATTAAGACGCAGAAATATTGGTCATTGTAAAGACCCGCAGCTTTGGCTTCAGGATCCTCATGGAAATCTAATATCACTGGAAGAACCGATATAAGGAATGATACTAGCCACACCAGAGCTATAAGGATGGTAGCGGACGATCGAGTTATTTTCTGGGTGTACGTGAAGGGCGATGTGATGGCCAAGTATCGATCGACCGCTATCACACACAGGCTCAAAATACTGGAAGTACATGCCAAAATGTCAAAGCTCTGATATACACTGCAGAATGCCAGGCCGAAGTGCCACGTCCCACTTGTAATAAAATTAGCGTTAAACGGCATAACGAATACTGACACCATTAAGTCCGCAACGGCCAGCGACACAATGAACATGTTTGCGACGCGATGAAGACGCTCAACCACTAAAACACTAACGATAACTAATATGTTACCACCGATTGAGATAAGTACCAATACGTACAAGACAACACCTATGATGACCTTTTCTGCACTTGAATACATCGTATCTTCTGTAGTGTTCAACTCCATGATATGTGTGCAGGTACCTCAAAACGAGTTTAGGCCGTTGCGCACCACCTATTGCGTCAACCTTTACGCGTGTATTCTACAACTCCCCGTCAGTTACGACCCGTATTTCGATCGCAACTCATGAATGTCCCCCGATTTTTCGAATTTATATACTGTCCCAACTGTTGTTCATCCGGAGTTTTATACGAAATTCTAATGAATATCTTAGTAAGTCGTTAATTATGTGTTAAACCCGACACTGGAGTGATTTTCATCCCTTTAACTGCAGATGCACCGGCGTTGAAACGGAAATAATATGGATTAGTGATATTTCAAACATCTGCCATGGCCTCAAAAAACAATATTAATTATTTGGATCTTGCTGAAGATTTGTCAGGACAATACACAAAACTATAACGTACACAATATAATAATCCATCTTCTTCAGTATTGTAATCTATTTTCGTAAAAGCGTGAATTCAATTTACTTATAGATGAAGTATCCAAGATCGATGCAAATCTGTGCGAAAATGTGCATGTCAACCGCGTTGATTCATGAAACAATATAAGCTGTTGAGAAAAAGAACAAACAAGATTAAAAGCGTCAAGTTGGTCTAATTTTTGCTTGTATGCATAGGCTATAGAAAACATGAATAGACGGATTACGAAGATGCGACCAATCAGGGTCGCTTACGTAATTTAGGTCTACCAGAAAACCTCTGACGGCCGGGTTGCCCAAACTACTAGCGAATAAGCTGCTTGTTCGTGCTGTCCTCGTGTATATTTATTGACTGACGAAGTTTGTAAAAATTCTGTAACAAGACTTGTAACAATGGAAGTAAAAAAAATGTTGTGAAAACTAACTGTGAAAGAACTGAGGACGGGATAATTTAGCACGCCACATTATAAAATCAAAGAGAAACGAATTAGAACTCAGAAAGCAGTGACGTCATTTTCTGCATTGGTCCGACATTTTTACTATCAGTATTTCTAATTTTAGTAATTAACCTTAATGATTTTTATATATTTCCAGCCAAGTGTAGACATAACAGTTATAAACTCCTGCCTCTTACTGATGAATTTCATCTTTGAATTTTGAATCTTCCATACGAATAGTATCACGGTTTAATACCTCATACCTTCTAGTCATTTTAATATCGTTTTCGTCTCTAGAGGAGGATTCTGAAATTACACTTCATGTTCATGTCATTAATAAGAAATTACTCCTGGTGCATATTTTCGAAATTTTCAAAATCCATTGAAAAAAAATCGGCTGTCTTTACTCCGTACTAATGAATACCTCACCTTCTCATATTAATATTTAGAAGAGCCACTGTGCGGCCATTCAACCCCTCGAACCTACATCGAACCATTTCTCGAGTGGCACTTTGCGCTACCCCCAGCAAAACAACCCGTATCCCATCTACCACCTGAAATTTTTTTTACTTACCATAACTATACCTCAATGACGTATGGTATCAACTTAGACTGAGCACTAAACATCCGACTAACAATTCACGTGGGTCGCATTGAGTCTAAGTATTTTCATGTTGATTGTTTCGCATTACACACAAGCAGTAAGGGGTTCATACTACAATAAATTGAAACAATATGTAATAGTTTCGAAAGTAATCTTCCTTTTGTTATGACTGTTTCCTCAATTAGTCTTAGTTCTTTCAATTGTCCCGGAACTGAATTGTGTAGTGTGCTGTATTGTTGTTTCCCAAGTGTATCGTTCAAGTATATTATATGTGTGCGTTTGTTATTAAATAGAGTTAATTTTTTTTATTCATTATTAGGCACACGGCCCAAGAATTTCCAATAGCAGACTCAATCGCTATCCAACTCAGGGGGAATCCCTTTCATAAGACGAACATAGGCAAGTCGATTGGCCGAGCGGTAAGGCTGGGGCGCCGCTGCTACAGCCTTAACATCGGCACTGGTTCCAGCCGCTCCTCGCCCATGGTTCGGTTGGTAAAACCAAGTCTTCTCGGATAAGGACTTAAAATGGAGGTCCAGTGTATACATCTGGCTCGTGTGCACTTTAAAGAACCCAGTGCAACTTTCAGAAGAGTTAGGGGGATACCACGATGTTATGGTTCATTTCAGCCCCTGTCGTTGTGGAATGATGTGAACATGTATCTACGATGAAGCGCCTCTTTACGGCTGCTAGAGGTGTCACGGACCACGCCCATACGCAATTCAGCATAATGACGCTGCAAGTTATGGGTTCTACCTTTACCTTTACCTTTAACATAGACATATTTTCTCAAACTAAGTCTCATTAAGAGACTGGGGGCTCAGGTGGAGTAATTTTATTGTGAGAAACGAAAATCCTGAACATTGAAAAGAATTGGATCCAGGAGCTTGAGATTGGAAGGCAAACATCTTAACCACCAATTAATTCAAACTTACTGGCAGGATATGCCTAGAAAGAGACATAGACAGGAAGACAAAAAGGTTATGATTATTTAATGACAGAAAAAAGCTATATTTTATTATTATTATTACTGTAGACATAAATTATGGGGTTTATAAGTTGAGCATAGGCCTAAGACAGTATTAAACAAACGCAAAAAAAAACAAAAACAAAAACAAAAAACAAAACAAAAACAAAACAAAACAAAACTACGAAACAAATACTGTACCGAAGGGTGTTTTTTATCATTTAATTTCATATATTTTTCTCAAAACATTAACGTTTTTTTAATGTTATATTTTTATTATTATTATTATTATTATTATTATTATTATTATTATTATTATTATTATTATTATTATTATTATTATTATTATTATTATTATTAACTTGATTTAGGCCGAATGCCAAGGATTGCCAGCAGTGAACTTAGTCACTATTCAAAGTGGTATATCCTTTCACAAGGCAAACCAAAACAGAAGATGCTCTACATAAACTAAGTCTCAGTGGAGTTGTTTTTTTGCACTTGAGAAAAAATCCTGTTACTGTGACAAGAATTGAACTCACAACCACACAAGAACCGAAACAGCAAAGAACGATCATTGAGACAGGAACACTTCAAAATTGAACAAAATCACTGTCGAGTGGGGGCCCTTGCCCTCTCTTAATTAGGCTGGCTTCGGCCTGTGGTGGGGGCGCGAAAAATGAGAATGTGGAATTTAATCACAGAATTCGAAACTAAATGCCTATTCCAATTAAAACCTAATGGTAATTTTTAGTACTTTATCCCAGGCTTAGTGGAACTAATTTGCTGCTATGAGGGTGGGTGGGGGAGGGTGGTTGAGCGTACACCCATGGTATTAAGGTAAATGGACAGCAGCTAAAGGCCAAGTGACAATAGCTAATGAAAAAACGCACAGTATTATTTGCAAAGTACTGGGTCTTGCTATAATTATTAGTACCAAGTATAATACCCGATAGTTAATGAGTACGATGATTTGGCCAGCAACACAATTGAATGATTAATGAAAAACGATTAGCAGCCAACTAATGGTCATCGTAAATAAATTTGTCTCGTTACCGGTACGTATTGTATAGTCAATTTCGGCCTCTCTGGAACAGAACTTGACTGTTGAAGTTACTTCAAATATAAAGCATGATTTCGGTTTTCTTCACGGACGATAAAAAAGGACATAAAAATCAAAAAAGCGATACAACTGACGTCACTAGTAGCAGGATGTACATTCGTCACATTGTTTTGAAAGAGTTTGTGTCGTTTTACGTCAACTTTGATTGAGAACCATTTCTCTAATCAATTCAAGTCACACTTCAAAAATATAGTTAGGAGATCCACAACCTTACGAAAACGATAACGAATACGAATACGTCATTATCATTGTCGTTATTCGTGCCACATTCTTGACAATATGTTGTATGAGCGGAATATGATCCTTGATTCATGCAAAAGGCATGAATCGCCTACGTTGTGACAGATACGCTACTGCAGGGAAAGGGTTGTCTACAAATTTTATGACGTAACCGTATTCGTTTTCGTAAGCCCTATTAAACATATCTGACGACAATAACAATTAATATTACAAAATATATAACAAAAATAAGCGAACGATTACAACGATAATCAACATAGACACCAGTGATTGGAACCTCTGAACAAAATACTGTATATAAATTAAATAAACACAGAAAAGCACAACTAAGAACATGCTTATTTATAGATTTGCTTTGCAAAATATGCTGTACTTCTCATTGTTCTAGTATCTTTTTTTATGAAGATTATGTATAGGCCTATATTACAATAAGAAGTATGTTTTCAGTCTCAAGGTTCAAGAATTCTTCATAATAATTTGTTTCGGTTAGGTTATGTAGGCAAATATAGATAGAATGTCACGCCGGGAATTCACTGCGTCGTACCACGGTCGTACAACTTCCCTTCCCTCCTTGTGGGCGTTTGACGAATCGACGGCGTTATGTGATTGTCGGTGACAAACTGAACGGATTGTCATTAAAAATGTTTCGTTGCGCGCGCGTCGCGGCGTTGCGTTTTCCATAGAATCACGTCGACTGAAGATCGTCGGGCGCAGAGAGTACCCGGCTTAAGAGGGTGAAGTTTTTATAAAAAAAATCTTATCGCAGGATTCACCACAGCTTGAATCTGACACAAATGAAGAACACGCATGCGTACTAAGTTAATTATCAAATCGATTAATATTGATATATGAACCTACTTCCTGCTGCTATAATACTATATCGTTGCGCATTAGTTATAACTAGAATGAAATGTTGGCGAATTAATCAATTAAGACGTTAAGTGATGAGTAATTGGTTTGCGGTGGTTCACGGGCGCCGGTCGATACGGAGATATATCATTTGTATTTTTAACGATACAAAAACTTTTTTATGTATTGTTACAGTAATATGTTTGCATACTTACTGCGGTCGTGCAGAACACGCGATCACAAACATGCTTTTTAGATATTGTATTTCACTCGATTAAAGAATTCCATGCAATCATGTATTAAATAAAATGTGTTTTGTACATACAGTAATTACTTCTATTTGAATTTATTTGGTCTCAAATAATCAGGATTGCCGGCTAATTGGCATCGTGTCAATATCTTGCGAGCAACTAAATATAGATTTTAGAAAACTGCACTCAAATGAAATCGAATCCAATGTCACAAAAAGAAATTGTAAAGAATGTATTAGCCAAGATTACTTTAATCAGAAGAACTTTAATTCAGGTGATATGGGTCACGTCAGAAATGATTAGAAATCACAAACCGGCAAGATTTTTTGAATTATTATTGCTTTATAATTATTATAAATGCTTACTAATTAAGTCTATGTCGATACTTCGTTTACAATTTGTTGTAATTATGTTGAAACAATTGTTAAAAAACATTTTTTTTTCCTAGTAGAGAATTGGGGTGGCGAATTGGTGTTTCTTTAAATGGTCGACAATGTCCATAACCATTAAATTGATAAGATGGAAACATTTGACTGAAATATCATCATACATAATAAAGTATTTGAGTGTATTTTCGTCTATTGCAGCTGTCACATGTCTCAATCTTTAGGCGTAGAATTTATAAAATGTCTCTTGTATATAAAAAATGGCCTATATATCATTAATGTAATTCGATGTTGGCCCACGTATGCCTCGGTTATAAAACGTGGTTGACAAACACCTTTAACGCTTAAAATGTATTATACATTACTTGCAGCATTACCGCAAGTTTAAAGTTTATGTCTATCATATCATTATATATATATAATGATATATATATATATATATATATATATATATATATACATATATGTGTGTGTGTGTGTTATAATATGTTATAATATATAGATATTGGTGTTTCGGAAGCACCTGCTACCTTCATGATTTCATATTATAGGCTGGATGAAGGTAGAAAGTGCTAACGAACACTTCGTATTAATAAGCAAACTTAAAATACTTCGATGTCTATCAAATAATTAAATGGTTGAATGAAAATTGATGTAATTCGACGTTGGCCCACGTATGGCCCGGTTCTTAAATGGTTGACAAACATAAAACTACTATTGTCTAGTTTAGATATTGATGTTTTGGTAGCCTGCACATGATTTTATATCATACGCTGGATGAACGTAGCAGGTGAATTTCGTATTAGTAAGCTAACTGAAAGTACTTAGATGTCTATCAAATATATAATATATATATATTAGATAGCCGTTAACAATTAAATTATACAAGTCATCAAAGATATATATATATATATAGTAAATATATACCTATATATAATTATATGTATATATAATATACATATATATCAAATAGATAATAAATAAGATATATATATATATATATATATATATATATATATAACGTGGTATAATACATCAACGTGGTACGCTCTTATCTCAAGCATAACTTTAATTATATTAAAGCTTACTAAAGCTGAGGAGTCCACCTGCATATTATATTATAATCCCGGTAGATGCAATGGTCATATCTTGTTTTCATGTTTGGTTGGTTTGTTTACTTTTCCAATTTAATTTTCTTGTTTGAGTGTGCGATATTAAACCGAAACGACACACCAGGGAATTGTGTAATAAGACAGGTATAAACGGCGCACCGGAGAATGGTACAATCAGTCGTGAAG